CAAGTCTTGGCCTATTTGATGGAGGTAAGGCAATGCTGGATCCCCTTGTTTTCAGAAATTGGTTTTTTTAACTTTTTACTTTTTAATCCATTCCCTAAATAGAAAAGAACCCCCAATAAAGACCCAGTTTAGTCTGAATCATCCACCATGATCTTCATTTGGCTTAAAATATAAAAGTTTTCAGGGCCCCTATTCAAAACTCTAAAAAGATCCCTCTCTTTTGATGTAGGTGGCCTCTGTCCTGGTCATTGGCCTTAGGCTCAGATGGCCTGAATTATCTCTCTCATGCAGTCTTTGCTAAACAAGATCTGGTGTGAATAATTTAAGCCCCGTTCTTGTCCCTGCTCAGCAGATTTCCAATATCAAGCTGATCATCATTTCGGTACCAGCAGGGATGTGCTATTTCTGTCCCTGACGGCCACTTCCTTCTTGGAAAGTGACCCTGAGGTGCTGCAGATGAGCTAGGAGGAAGGGTTGTGCCAGGACAGACGTTGTGCCTGAGTGGAAGCCGGATGGTCCCCTTCTGGGTCATTCCTTGGTAACTCCTCCCCGACTCCTGATTCAAGGTAGATGCACATCATTCAGATGCCTGGTCTTTCACCTTTCCCTCTCCTCTGGGACCGCTTTGTCTAGTGATAGACTCACTGCCCTTCTCCGTTGGAGCTTCCCTCACCTGTCAGCTGATTCAAGATTTTAAATGGAAGTTAGACATGGAGGGGACAAACTGAAACCGAGAAGGAACTGCTAAGAGCCCTACAGCACTTTTACACTGCCTTAACCACACCACTGGACTCTAAACGGGAGCCTGGGTTTAAACAGTCCTACTATGTGAGCGCAAGAAAGGTAATAGGTTAACCTTCTTGGTTTAAACAATCAAGTGCTTGATGCTTCAGGGGCTGCTGTGCCGGGATGTGGATTAGTCAGGATCTCCTGCTTTACCTCCTGCTCTGTCCTTGGGCCGGTTCCGTCATGGGTTCTTTCACAGAGGGGCAGAGAAAGCAAAGAAAGCAGATTCTTGGCCATGGAGTTTGCTGTTTGCTAGCGCCCTGCAGAGATGCCTGTCTCCACAGTCCTGTGTTGGTGGCTGAGCGCATGTGTGTGTGCATAGGCATGTGTGCGCATGAATGTGTGTGTGCATGCACACTTTTTTCCTGACCAGAGTTTCAAGCTGTTGCCTCCCTGATGTGTCTGTTTAGTGACTTAGACTAGAGAGATCATCAGTTCTGTGTGGGATGGGAGTGAACACAGGCAGGTCTCTATAGAAGGGGGTAAAGTGGAACTGAAAAGAAGCAGGGAATCTTGCACCATCCTGTCCAACAGCTGCTGTGCCCCAGCCATGCCTCAAGCCCCAGAGGGATGACAAGGCTCACTGCTGACGCCCCGAAGTGCAGAAGGGTATGGTAAGAGGTGCCCAGCCCAGCCTTTAGGCAAACACAAGGCCCTGGCCTTCACCGCCCTCACTGCCTCTCCACATCCCTCCTGCACGCCCCGGCACAGGGCTTGGTTCCCTCTGGGCAGTTCATCCAGACTAAGTGACAGTCAGGTTGAGAGGCAGAGGCCAAAGACTCATTCTTCATGGATCAGCCTGGATGGCAGGACAGATTTCATGAATGGATGGTGTAAGAGGAAGCAAGGAATGGGAGGCTGTGTTCAGTGGCTTGGAGAGCACAGTGTGGTCAGGTGCTAAAGCTTAGGCTTCCCATCTGGCCTTTGAGATGACCAAGGCTAAGAGCTCCTATGATTACACTCTTCTCCAAAACATCTGATAAATCTGAGTGTCTCCCACTAATGCCTGGGTGACCCACCCACTCATCCAGCCAGTGTCTTTCAGCTGGTAACCTTTGAATGGAGCACTGAACTCTGATCCTCAAGTTCCCTTCTAAACTGAATATGCTCTGACCCAGGTGTGCTGCTCTTTCCTTACTATAATGGGAGCAAGGAGGCACTTGGATGCCTGAGGCTTCTAGGGTCCCCCCAACACGCCCTTGATCCTGCCTTAGGGTTCTGAGCTAGGTGCCGCAGGGAGCCCTCCCTTGTGACCAGCCAGACCTCTGAAAGCTACCGCTCCAGGAAGAGCTCTGCAGAGATGGAGAGCGGGGTGTGCCCTGCACACATCCTCCCCCTTGGCCTCTGGTCCCTCTGCCTCCCAACAGGCTTGGCCTCCCCAGGGAAGCAGACTCTTGGAGGTGATTCCAACGGACTGCAACACACAGTCCAGCTCCAGCCATTACTTGCTCTATATCTCAGCCAGTTTCCTTAACTGGAGAATGGGGGTGAATATGACCTCTTTGGACACAGAAGAGTGTGGTGGGTCTGAGTGTGGGCTTGGAAGCAGACCACATGCTGCTCATCAGCAGTGTGTATCATGCATTTTAAAACTTTGCATTTTCCTGCTGCCTCCACATCCCTGTATATGTGGGCTGTGTGCACCTGCTGGGGTGACCAGGTGCACCAGTGTGATAGGGCTGGCACTGCTACAAGTTCCCCTTGCTACCCTCCCCTGTGACCCAGTGAAATTCAAATGCACCAGTGGACTCTCCTGCCTTTTCTTATGGCTCCACCATGACCCCCAGTGAAAGGGTCTCACCCACTCCCTGTGCCCTGCCTGCTTGGTAGAGCCCTGGTCTTTGGCTCGCCCCCCTCCCCCCGCCCAGTGGGGTGTGCAGTGAATCTATCTAGGACAGGGGTGTCTGATCTTTTGGCTTCCCTAGGCCACACATAAAATATACTAATGATAGCTCATGAGCTAAAAAAAAAAAATCCCCCCAAAATCTCAACGTTTTGAGAAAGTTTACAGATTTGTGTTGGGCTGCATTCAAAGCCATCCTGGGCTGCATGGGCCACGGGTTGGACAAGCAAGGTCTAGGACCTGAGAGTCTGATAAACTCTGCTGTCCTGTGCCTCTCCTGTGACCCCTCTATGGCCACACCTGACTGACCATCACCTAAAGGAACACAACTGCCAGGTGACTCTGGTCAAATTGCTTCGCCCACCTCTGCTCTCAGTTTCCTCCCCGTCCATACACATAATAAGAGTTGCTGGGCTGGGCGCAGCGGCTCATGCCTGTAATCACAGCACTTTCGGAGGCTGAGGCAGGTGGATCATGAGGTCAGGAATTCGAGACCAACTTGGCCAACATGGTGAAACCCTGTCTCTACTAAAAATACAAAAAAGTTAGCTGGGCGTGGTGGCAAGCACCTATAATCTCAGCCCCTCAGGAGGCTGAGGCACAGAATTGCTTGAACCTGGGAGGTGGAAGTTGTAGTGAGCCGAGATTGTGCCACTGCACTCCAGCCTAGGTGACAGAATGAGGCTCTGTCTCAAAAAAGTTGCTGCTCTCTGGGGCGGGGCACAGACTGAATGAGTTGATGTGCAGGAATGTTGAGCACAGTGCTTGCTCCGCACAGTTGAGATTACCAGGACTTTGCAGGTTGCTGTAGCGAGGATAGAGCAAGGTGGCTCTAGAGAATGGTGGTCATTTGTGTCCTAATTGGGCTTGGGGAGGAACGCAGGGCCTGTTTCCCAGTGCTGCAGCGGGACCACTGGCCTTTACTGACTCCACAGAACCAGGATGGATGGCTCTAGGTCAGAAGGAAGGCGCTTGGTGAGGGCTTCTGAATTCCTTCTTGTGTTGTCCAGAGGTTAGTCTTGTCCTCCCTCAACAAGATGACCCGACGGAAGGAGGCAGGTAAGAGCACACGGCTCAACAGCCTGCTCATGGGCAGACCTCCGGGTTCAGGGCCAGAGGCTCAGCCTGAAGCCTGAGGCCAAGCTGAAGGCCCTGCTTGCTACGGGGTGCAGAGCCGGCCAGGACAGACAGGCTTGCCAACACTGCAGAGGGAAGGGTCTCTCTCTCTGGGCCCAACTGTACTGGTCCCCGTAAGCCTTAGACCCCATAAGGGCTGGTCAGTGCCACACAGAGGGAACACCCCCAGGCTGCGCCACACGCCTGGTTTTACTGAGTCACATCACATGCCTTTGTCCAGATACGTCAGTCAGATCTGGGATGTGCCACGTGGCTCTCAAGGGCCTCGGCTGACCGACTGCATCACCCTGCTGGAAATCCTCACGGTAGGCCCCATGTAGGGGTAGCTGGTGGCGTGACTGGCTCTCAGCACACCTGTCCCACCTGCTAGAAAAGAGCTCAAAACCCATACTCTGGGGGCCTTCACTTTAGGAGACAAATCAACCCGTGGGAACACATAAGCCTAATTTAGATTCTAACTCAAACGTAAATACAACAACAATGGTTTGTGGGTCAACTGGGAAGATGTGAAACTTCCTGGTTATTTTATGATATTAAGGAATGACTTAACAGTTTTAAAGTGTGATAATGGTAATGTTATGTTTTCTAAAAGAGGGTCCTTAAGTTTTAGAGGTACACACTGAAACACTGACAGATGACAGGCTGTCGGGGACTGTTTCAGAATCCCCCTGGGGTTAGGAAGTGGGCAGGTGAGGGTGTGGCCAGAATCAGGACTGGCTCTGAGATGGTAAGTGTTGAGCTCTGGGTGACGGGAAGACAGAGCTTCATGAAAAGCCCTCTTTATTTGTGCATATCTTTGAAAGCAGCCATAATAAAATCTAGGAGGAGGAGGAGGAGGGAGGAGGGGAGCAGTGGGGAGGCGGAAGTAGGAGGAGGAGAAGGAAAAGGGATAAGGAGGAGGGGAAGGGTAGGTAGAGGAAGGAGAAGGAGTGGAGCAGGAAGAAGAGGAGATGAAGAAATGGAGGAAGGGGCCGAAGGAGAGTGGGAGGAGATGGAGATGGAGATGGAGATGGAGGTGTGGGGAAGGAGCTGCTGCTGCCGTGACCCAGAGGGCCCTGCTTGCTTAGGTCTAAGAACCTGGAGACCACAGCAAACAGGAGCCGCCACCCCGTCTCTGGCTCTCCCACAGCCTCAGCCCCTCTCATTCCAGGGCTGGGGTCCCTCTCGCTTGCTGGGAAGCCAACTGGGTGGTGCAGGGCTCCCCCTCCCTGTAGAGCATGGGGCAGGCACTGACCGTGGAGAGGCAGCCCTTCTGCTCCCGGAGGATGGCACCGAAGCCGAGGAAGCCGGTGGCCATGACAAGTGCGCCCGCGAAGATGAGGATGTAGGCGGAGGCGGCAAAGGTGCTGGAGGCCAGGACGCTGAGGTAGCCACTCTTCTCCACCAGGGTCCAGACGCCCACAGCCAGGACGGCTGCTCCCCCGACCTGCAGGACACCACCGAGTTAGAGCAGGGAGCTGGCGGGGGCCTTGGCAGCTGCCATTCAGTGCCCACAGGGTGCCAGGGTCTTCTCCTGCACTGGCTCATTCAGTCAATGGCATGGTTACCCAATTTTATAGATGAGGAAACTGAGGCTGAGAGAGGTTAGGAGACTTGTTCAAGGTAAGCAACCTGAAGAGCCAGGTTTTGAGTCCAGGTCTGTGAATTCAGTGCTTTTTACCGTGGTGGCCTATTGCGTATGAGGCCGGGGAGAGGACAGCAGTTTCAGGGTTGACCAACATATCTGAGACCCTTCACCTCCCAGCTCTTCACCACCCCAGCTCCTGCCACCCCCGGCTCCTCCCCACTCAGTGCACTTCCTCCCCCTGCCCTACTTCCTCAGTGGGGCTGGTTTGAGCAACACCCCTTGTTTAAACCTTATGTTTGCCAATTGGGGAAGCAGAGCTGGGCTTTTTATCCCTATTCTACAGAGGAAGAAACAGACCCACGGAGGAAAGGTAAATTGTCCAAGGTCTTGCCTGTAGTTGGGGGCAGGGGTAGAGGCAGGACGAGAACTCTGAGCCCAGGGCCTGCCCACTCAGTCACACTGCCTCTATGATCAAAGAGCCAGGCGGCTTGACAGGCTGGAGCTGCCTGGACTGCAGGAAGAGAAATTTTTTGCTGTCTGATTCCCTTTGGTCCTGAGAAGGGGGCAGGGATAGGACACTCCTGATTTGCAGATGGGGGGATGCCTCCTTAGAAACTGGAGTGCTTGGGAAATATAGCAGAGATGGCTCGACTTGCCTGGCTCTATTTGCAATGAAGCCAAGTAACTCTTTCTGTGACTCTTAGACCCAGCAGGGCATAATGTGTGTGTATGTACACACGCACAGAATCTTCAGGGTACCAGATGGGAAGTACTAGAGTGTTTGCCCAGGATTTGGGTACATGACCCCAGGACTCCTGACCCTCTCTGCCTTCTGCTCCTGGGAAGATGGCCTTCTGCCCGCTAGTCTCCCTGTCCCCATTTAAGGATGGGTCTCTTTCCTTTGATGGATGTCAGGTGCTTCCTCAAGGGGTCCTGGGTGTGCTCAAAGCTAGAGAAGTGCCCTGGGCTCTGTCCATGCCTCCCTGAGCCTTGTCACTGAGAGGAGCTCCCCATCTGCCCCAGGAAGACTCCACACAACCTACCCTGTCATTTCTTAGTTCTCTGTTCTGGGCAGTCACAGACATCTGTTGAGCAAGTGGACATGTATTTACCATTTTCTCTTCTGAGCTGGGCAACAGCTCTGTGAGTATGGGGCAGGGTGGCAGGGCACATTGTCTTTTGCAGATGAGGAAATTGAGGCTTGAAGAGAATCAGAATGTACCCAAGATGACACCATTAGAGTTTCAGAATTGAGACTCAAACCTACATATCCTGAGAACAAATCCAGGACTCTGTCCCCAGATCCCACTCCACTGATGCCCTCATCATCTCACTCCCCAGCTGGGGCTCAAGTCCTCCGCCTTCTCTGCCACCTGTCTTAGTTCCCACAGACTGGGCTGGGCCTGCTCCGCTACTTCGGCATCTTTAGTAGATGCTATTTCTTCAAAGTGCCATTTTACCTCCACTGGCACCTCCACCAGGTGGAAGGACACCATCAGGGCTATGGCAAACAGAATGGGAGCAGCTACCATACAGATTTCTTTAATGCCATGATGCACACATTTTTTCCCTCACATTTTAACATCTCTAAAATTGGGATGTATCTTATGACTGATAGTATTTTACAGTTATACTTGGCAGTAGTTTTTCTTAGTGGTACAAAAAACAGTAATGTATTGTACCACTGATGATATCTTAGATTCAGTGAAATCCTAGAATACAATAGGCTTTAAAATTCTCTGTGGGTATAGGTTACCTCATACAACCTCCTGACCAGTGAGGGATTTCCTGAGTTTGGGTCAACAAAATTGTGTAAAATGAGGGTTTGTAGCCAAATATCCTGTAAAGAATTCTTTCTTCCCCCTACAGCATGTCTGGAAGGCTTAGGTGAGGGTCCTAACTTTGTATAACTAGCGGGTGACCTAAACGTGGTCTTTTAACCTCTCTGGACCTCAGCTTCTTCATCTCTCAAATAAGGGAGTTGTATTAGACCAGTGGTTTCCAACCTCTAACCACTGGGAATCCCTTTGAGTACTTTTCCCTGTGGATCTAATGTTTTGAGGGCCTCCAACTCTCTCCCAGAGTGTTATGTCCTTAGGTAAGGAATGAGAAGGTTTCAGTCATTCGGGGGGCCTCCTGCTTGGGACATGGTCAGCTCTTTAGAAAACAAGCTTTCCTCTGGATCAGAAAATTAACGCTGCTCACTGTTGGATGGTCACCAGAGGGACTCACGGGAGGGCAGAAGTCGGCAACCTGGGTTCTAGTTCTGCCGGTGCCCCTGACTAACCACATGACTGGGGGACAGAAAGCAGCCCCTCTAAGCCTCAGTTTCTTCATCTGTACACTAGGGGCACTGGATGGGAATACCTCTGAGGTCCCTTCCACATGGTTAAACTGTCCATGTTAGTACCGAGGGTCAAGTTTCTGCCAAAGCACCTCCGGCAAATGGTTCTGAACCAGGGGCTCAAAGCTGTCACTCAAGTCACCTGGAAACTGCCTACGTCAGCAGAGAGCAGGAAGAGGGACTGATGGGACAGAGAGAGATCTGATTCCAGTGAGCTACTCAGAAGCCATTGGCATACAGTTGATTCAACAGTATTTGGCTCTTTACAGAAATGGGTGTAATTTTCCACGGGGGTAATAACTACATTTTTCTTTTATTTTTTCTCGCACTGTTGCCCAGCCTGGAGTACAGTGGTGTGATCTCAGCTTGCTTCAACTTCCACCTCCCAGGTCAAGCATTTCTCCCTCCTCGGTCAAGCATTTCTCCCACCTCAGCCTTCTGAGTAGCTGGGATTAGGGGCGTGCACCACCACCTCTGGCTAATTTTTGTATTTTTAGTAGAAACGGGGTTTCACCAAGTTGGCCAGGCTGGTCTTGAACTCCTGACCTCGGGTGATCCATCCGCCTCGGCCTCCCAAAGTGCTGCGATTACAAGCGTGAGCCACTGCCTGGGCAATAACTACATTTTTCAAAGTCATAGCCTGTGGCCAACTAGCCAGCAAGTCCTGCAAAGGGTGAAGCCAGGCAACGAGGCTGCAAGCTGAGCTGGCTGGGAGGGGTGGAGCAGGTTACCCCTGCTGTGTAATTTTAGGAACTTTCTATTCATAGGAAAGAAAGACGACGGGGTGAAGCATTAGCCTGAGAAATGCATGCCTGGCACTCGGAGAAGTTCGTTCATGAGGAAAGTGAGCAGCAGCGCCTGATGCCCACTGTGTGCCCTCCTGGAGAGCTTGGTTGCTTGGGCGTGGGACAGGGGTGCCATCCACCCTGCCTGCCTGTGGGAATAGGGCTGAGCTGTGCTCTACTGGGGCTGCAGCCCAGGGTTCAGCTGATTCTTCTGATGTGGGAGTGGGAAGCTGTTCTTTAAAAGAAACTGAGCCTTGTTCAGACCTAGTCTCCCAGTCCTCTCCCTGAGCCTTCATGCTGTGTTTGCTCCCCAAATTAGACCCATTCTCTTCTTCAGAGCAGAAGTCACCCTGGTGACTAAAGACCCTGACTAAGTCAGATATTGGGGCAGGGACAGTGGCAGTATGGGTCCCATGACAGCCCAAGAGCCTGACGTCACTGTAGCAGGTGCACAGTGGGTACTGGTTGAAAGAATGAGAATAACCAAGCATCAGTCTAGCCTTAAGATCCTTAGGGTCCAACCCCAGCCTTTCCAGGCGCCTCTTCCTAATGATCCAGAGAGAAAGCCCATTCCCCTCTGGGACTGCTGGGACTTTGTAGACTGCCCCTTTAAAATCAAAACAACCATAAAGCAGGAAAGAGAAACACCAGCTGTTGCCCCAGAAGCTCAGCAGTCAGAGGCAGGTGGGGGAGCAGATGCCATTTCCACAGCCCTCTACAGAGCCCCATCCACCAAGTTCCACACTTACTGGGGCGGCTGCCGGGTGCTGGGCCGCATTCTTAGGGGAGTGAGGGGAGATCCCCACCCCCCAGGGCCGAGGGCTGCTGTGAGGTGAGCAGCACCACAGACATGTAGGAGAGGGTTGAACTCACCTGCCCAGGGCAGTCAGAGCAGGTGCCACACTCACAATCTCAAAATGGGCTTTAGAGGGTGTGTAGGAGTTCAACAGAAGAGGGAGGGCAGAGAGAACAATGTGAGAAAGGTGGGCAGGGATGAGAGCGAGCCTCCCTGAGGCCCACAGGACCGCTTCACTTATCGAAATCCACACAGCCAATAAACAGAGGGGCTTGGACTGGACACTGCGCTGCACCCAGGAGTTCACCCTGTTTACCACTCTGCTAACAGTGCCCGAGTTATTAGGTAACCACACTATTTTCAAGAAAAAACAACTACTTAGTTCAAAGTGATTAAAACCCAGGTGTGGGGTAAAGAAAGTAGCAAATATGATGCCAAAAAGTCAGGTTAAGGCCAGACTGTAAGAGCCCTGAGGCCATGCGAGAGTTTGGGCTTGGTGCCCTGGGCATGGGAGCAGATGGGGATGTCTCAGCCTGTGGCAGAGCAGAAGCTGGGAGCTGACCACGGTGGGGAATCCAGGTGGGCAGTGTGGCGGGAGATGGAGACAGGTTGGAGGGCAGAGGGGAATGGTCACACGGTTGTTGCTGAGAGAAGGCGGAGTCTATAGGGACCCTGCGGGGTCTGGAGTGGGTGGGTGATGGTGCCATGTATGAGACTGAGCAGGGAGGAGGAGCACAGATGATGAGTGTGGTTCCCATGAGTGAGCTCCTGTTCAGCCTGGAAGGCGATTCAGTCCGGTGTGGGGCCTGGCATGTAGCAGCTGGCCAGCAGATGCAGAGTCTACTATCAGCCCGTGCACTGACCGTCTCCTTGTGCATTTCCCACCTCCTGAACCATGGGCTCCTCCTCACTGAGGGTGGAGAACTCCCCTGCC